AAATTGAGAGGTTCAATATCTTATCCATCACAAAACTCCACAAATAGTAAAAAATAAAATAAAAAATGAACAAGTAAGAAATGAACAAGTAAAAAAATAAATTTGTTCGATGTTTCAAACATCAAACCAAATACAAAACTAAAAACATCAAACCCAGTACAAAACTAAAAAATATATTAATATACCCAAAAAAAAAAGGGACCATACAGTAAAATTTCTGAAAATATGGACCAAATGGTGCTTTTGTATATTAAAGTATTAAACCCAAACATTAGATAATCTGTCCTTTTATTTTTATAAGTGTTATGACTTGGGTGGTATATAGATTTACAATCTAGGCTAGCATCTAAAACTGTGGCACGAGCTGTATTTAAAAATTGAATTGGCCTCGGAAATCGGCGAAAGGCAGGCTCCGACTGAGTGGTAAATCGGTTGTTTGATCAGCTTAACCGGGGAGGTCCGGCTGGTCTAAAAAATGTTAAAAACAAATCTAAAAAAAGTGAAAAATATATCTAAAGCTTGATTAAATGAGCATATATCCAAATGAAGTTGCAAATTAGTGAGAAAAATAGATTTTAAAAAACTGATTTGTGTCTGGAGGTAGTTTCAAAAATTTTAAAAAAATAGGAAAAAAATGTAAAAATAAATATTCATAGCCAAAACAACTTTAAATATTTGCCAAAATGATAAAAATTATTTAAAAACACATCACAAATGAATCCCTTATTTTTTGGGATTTTATATTTATTTTTTAAATTTTGTTTAAAATACCCGACCGGATCACAAAAACCTATTCAGTCAGTGACAAGTTCAAATTGACCAGCGAGTTCCAAGTTGGACCAGCCGAATTTACAAACACTGGGCAGAGCCATGGTTCTAAGTAATTAGGAATATGGCCCGAGCCATGGGACACACTCACCGCAACCACGGAGTCACGAGCAGCGACGGATAGGATGTCGGCACAGGACACCACGCTCCCCCTGCAGGCCCGGTCGACGGCCGTCTTGATGGAATCGATGACCTCAAACCCTCTCACTGAGTTTGCATTGGGCCTTGCTGTCTTTTCTCCCGTGAAAGTCGCGTTATCGTCCAGAAGTACAGAAGCATCGCAGCCCTACAAATTCAAGAGGATAGGAGCCATGAGCAACATCGCAATTGATCATGGCGCTCACTCTGCCTCTCTCATGCACACGCAATGTGACCATGATTATAATTGAGCCCCTCTCTCTCACCCACATTGTGCAATTATTATAATTGAGCCTCCCTCGTGCGCGCTCTCTCTTTTAGACAATGCAATAATTATAATTAAATTGGAGTTGGACCCGACGAATTGGGTGGAGTCAAGTCCAAATAATCACGTATCATGACATATTGAGAACAGTAGCAATTAATGAAAAAATAATACTTGTACAAACTACTGAAGGGATCCCATCTCTACCAATTCAAAGATGAAAATTATTGTACAAACTACTGAAGGGATCCCATCTCTACCAATTCAAAGATGAAAATTATTGTAATATTATGAACCATTCATGAACATCCCAGCAAATACGATTTAAGACGTTTATGTAATTTATAGTACTATATTCATATCATGTTGGGTTGGCTTCAACCCGACTTGACGAGATCAAGGATGGACGCAAAATCGCACCCGAACCCAGTAAAGTAAAGGTCAAGTGGACCAAAATCCCAACCCAATTCCCACCCCTATCTATAATCTCTTGTGAAAGTGAATATATTAATCGCTACTTTTGGAGCATTAGACACAAACACACACACTCTCTCTCAACCTAGCATCATGAGCCGGTCGAGGTCGAGGTCGACCCAACCGAATTTACACCCCTATCTAATAATCTCCAATTGTGAAAGTGAATGTATTAACCACTACTTTTGAAGCATTAGACGCGCACACACACACACTCTCTAAAGCTATTAAGATGCGCATGAATCTCACATTTACAAAGCAATCATGGAAGTGAAGGCGGAGCAGTGAGGCCCCCATGCGAGCCTCGCTCCTCACTGCTGCTGCCACCATTCTGCTAATGGTAGGCAGTGCCTGAGGGCACACTCTATTGTAGAATCCAGGCGAGAGTTGGCCCGAAGCACAACCAACAACTGTTAGTGCCAAAAGGATAAGAGAGTAACACGAAGCCATGTCTCTACTTGTTAGAGAGAGAGAAGGGTTTGAAGAAGGGAAAAGTAGACTAGTGCGTGGTAGAGAGAGAGTGTGTGTAGGGTATTTATAGAGAGAGAAGAAATGGAAAAATTGGCTATTCAATGAGGAGACTGGAGTATATGAGGAAAAGTCAGAGCCGCTTTGAGATCACATGGATGATTTCGGTGGCAAGAAAAGGCTACTCTATTAAGCATTTGACTTTCCTCGTAGGAGACATCGATCCCAATCATAAATTTATTCAAATGCTGAGTGGTTTTATTAGGTAATTACACCTCCAACTCAATCGACCCCATTTGCAACTTGCAAGTAATCGGTGCAAGCCCATTTGCAACTTGCAAGTAATCGGTGCAATAAATTTCTTTCTCTGCGTAATAAATGATACTGTCGGAACGTTTGGTAATGTATTGATTTTCCGATTTTGACTAAAGATTTTAGGCACGCGTACATTTATTCCCTAGGCTCTCAAATATAGGGGTGGCGATAGGGTCGACGGTATCGAACTGGAACCGACCCGGACCCAACCTTAACACGATCATGCATCCTACCATTTGATTTCCAAGTTTATCATGAAAGTCTATCGTGAGAAGCACTCACTCTTGTGTGTCCTCTCTCTCACCTCGTTCCGTGCTCCATCCCACAAACAAAAGACTTCCTAAGTTTTGGAACTTTGAATTTTGAGGGGTTGGACAGCACATGGGCCAACTTTTGCTTAATCAGGTCAAGGGATCCAGTTGTGGGGTCAAGCTTTACATGTCAATTTACCCTATAATTTAGCGGAACTGCATCTGTGAATTTGTTTATAAAATATAGACGACCATTTAACCCAAACTAGCTGTCACAATGCCTAATATTCTTCACAAATTTTATTTTGGAAGTCTCAATAACTAAGACTTAGGAAATGAGATAAAGAAAAGAACTAATTTAATGATTTCCAAGCGTTTTGATAAGCTGGAGTCAATGATGTTCAGATTTTTTCCGATTAGGGTTTGCCATTTGTTAGCTTGATTTTTGAGAGATAGAGAGAGAAGTTTCGAAATCTCAAATGCCATCATTATGTGATGTACAGTACGTCTCTAAATGAGAGAGAGAGAGAGGGGGGAGAGAGAGTATTCCAAAGGGATAGTGTTCCAAATGCCATGTATGTACATGATACCGTGTTGGAAAATTCGACTCAGGCCGACTACTTGGCCCATTCCCCAGCCAAGTATTAGCTCAAGTCCGAGTAAGCCAAGTACTCTAGCATCAAAAAATTATTAAATAAATAAATAAATTAAGTTAAAATAGAAAAAATATAGGGTAAATTATAAGGGGTTTTTTAGAAAGAATCTATTTATCTTTTGTATATTGAGTTCACAATCATTAGACGCCAAATTAAATGGCTTGGGGTGAGTCACAAAGTCTTAAAATTTTTTTTTGGAACTTTATATCTATTCAATGACAATCTTACAATGACTCATTTTGAAATTTAAAGGTGACTTCCATGTACAAAAGATAAATGATCTCTTTGTAGACAATCCCAAACTATAAATAACCTCCAAAATCAACTTTGTAGACATCTTATACTTGATATTTTTAATATCGCACTCTAAACTCTAATACTATTTTTTCTTGTATTTAATCCATTCAAATAAAGGGTTTAAGACTAAGATGCCCTTTTTCGCTCTCTTCCCCTAGGTTTTTGTAGTTATTATGGTAACACTTTCTCCCTCTACTGCCCTCTCCCTCTCTCTCACTTGCTCTCTCTACCCGCCCTCTCTCTTTATTTCATTCTATCCATTATCTCTCTTCCCACTTTCTCTCTCTACCCGTCATCTCTCTCCTTGCCCCTTCTTTACCCGCCCTCTCTCTCTTCCTTTCCTCTAAATACAACCAAAGAAAATCAAACACTTTCTCTCTCTCTCATAAAGGCCGTTGAGCATTGGCCAAAGCTCTTCAAAAAAGCCTCAATCTCTGCATCTCCAATGCCAAAACCACCAAAACCGTGTCCTAGAAGACCCCAAAACCTCTCCCTTCAAAACCTTCAACTATGTCTTCGACCCTCTCGCCCCCACTGCCACCGCCAAATTTAGCGACGTCTCCAACTACCCTCTCGACTCCGCCTCTGCCAAATTTAGCGACGACTCCGATTACCCTCTCGACTTCACCTCCAAAATCTAGCAGGAGCAGCTCCTCCTCCAACAATGGCACCAACTTCACTGAAATTTTGCCAAATTTAGCAGTGCTGCTAACTTCTCGACACTTCTTTTTCTCCCCTGGAAAATCCGACTCCTTGATCCATGACATTGGTGTTGTGGATTCACTGTCGAAAAAAGATCGGGAGACTTCTCCAACGTGGCCGAATATATTGGGTGAAACTGTTGGGCATCCCATCCCATGAGGGGAGCACCAATGGAAATTGCCTGACTAGAAAAATGCAATTTTGAAAAGCCAAAAAGTGATGACTTGTTGACCAAGTCATTATCCCATGAAAATTGGATATCTGTAAAGATATCATCTTATATCTTAGTTGAAAGGAGATAGAGATAAGCCATATTTTAGGAAGTTATAGAATGTTATTTTCATAATTGTCATTATCTCATTGACTCGTATCAAGGCAAAAATATAGGAGGTTGTTGACTTTCTCTAAAGTAATATCTTCATGTGGTCCTCGTATGAGATGAGATAAAGATAAATATGTTGGTTAAATATTCTACCTCAATCTATCCTATAGAGCGATAACAAACCATAAAAAGCCCTCACATGGGTAGGTTGTATTTACTCTTGGGTTTTAACTAAAGCCACATCTATGGGCTATTTTTGGCCATGTATCTCTCTTGGCTCATTTTTTGGTCGGACTTTTCTTGGTGTATTGAAAGTACAGGAAGCCTTCTTTTGTAAAGAAGATGAGATAAAGTAATTATTCTCTTAGAGAGAAGAAATACAGAGAGAGAGAGTATCCTTCTCCGAGTGAGAAGGAAAAGAGAAAGAGTTATCATTTTTTGAGAGAGAATAAGAAGATAAAGAGTATCCTTTTTCTTAGAGAGAATAAGAAGATGAAAGAGTGTAAGTGATCATCTTAAGCATTTTATTTGTTGAGAGAGAAAAGAAAGGGAAGGGAAGAAAAAATAGAAAGAAAGAACATTTACTTTTAGAGAGAAAAAGCCTTTAGAAAAGGAAAAAAGTTTATGAGAGAAAGAAGCACTTCAAAGAGAAAAAACCTATAGAGAGAATGTCTTTAAAAGGAAATTAGTGAGCCGAAGAATACTTGTCTATTGGAAGACTATTGTAACCATTGAGTTAATAGTGGATTCGTCTTTTTCTACTATGGACGTAATATGAAATGTGAATCATGTAAATCTCAATGCCAGTACGTTTAATTTTATTTAATTTGCATGTTTTCCCACTCATACACACAACCATCGACTTTAGCATAATTTTTGTGTCCCATAAATACGTGTTCCACTGCCCGCATCCACATTCGTGTGAGAGTATACTCTAATTGGGCGAGCCTAACAAGCAGTATCAGAGAACAGCAGGAGTTGTGACGGTCAAGACTCATCGATTGGATCTGTATATCGATTTTCAGTAATCGATGGTCGCTATGATGCAGTCTAGGCAGGTGGGGAGCTTACTGATGGAGTTGTTTACTTTAAAGGAGCTTCTTTCTTGTTATCTCAGGCTTAATGAGGAGTATTCACATAAGTTTATAATGGGGGCTTTTGCTGATCTTGTAGAGAACTTGGTGTTCGGGAAATGGCCAGAAGTTTGAGTTTATTGGTGATTTTGGGATTGATAGGAAGGCCAGAATTTGATATTTAATAATGGTTATTGGGGTGGTGAGTCTCCAGGATCTGAGTTTTCGAGCCAATTTTACCGTTGAGGAGTAGGGAAATGAGAATGATATTTTGGCATTTTGGCAGTATTATTAAACTCACTTCTTCAACCAAAGCTTTCAGATTTTAGGCATAAACAGAAGAGAAGCGAAGTATGGTGCTTCCGCTTAGGCCAGATTCGGGCCGCTTCAGGCTATTTCGATCATATTCAAGTCTTCTTCAGGTATGCTTCGGGTCTACTTCGGCCAGCAAAAAAATAGCCATCTAAAAGTTTTTTTTTATTTTAATTCTTTTCATTATTTATATATGTTATATATATAAATATCCCATTTATTTATATTAAATGAAAAAAATCCGAATTCTTCATTTGAATCGACGGAAGTACCAGATTGCTTCATTTTTCTCAACAAACCGAAAAAGACTCCAAAACGAATCTAACAACGATGTGTTTTGGTTTCAAGCCAAAATGCATAATTAGCACTAAGAGAGCCCAATAGACTGTGAGTGTGAGAGAGACAAAGTGATCGAAAATTATGGTAGATTGTGGATTTTGGGGATTTCGGGAATTTACCAAAAGAGAGAGAGAGATAGAGAGGGTGGGTAGAGAGAAAGAGATAGAGAAAGTGAGTTTAAGTAGAAAGAGAGAGTTTGGGCAGAGAGAGAGAGAAAAATGGGTTTTTTCTATAGAGAGAGTTTGGGTACAAGAGAGAGAACGAAATGGGTTTAAAATTTTATGTAGAAAGAGAGAACGAAATGGGTACAAGAGAGAGAACGAAATGGGTTTAAAACATAGGGGAAGAGAGAGGATAAGGGAATTTTGGTCTTAAAGTTTTTGATTTTGTGACTTGAGAGGAAAGGGGGGTAAATACAAATAAAAATAGTATTGGGCTCTATGGTGTGATACTAAAAGTATTGAGAGGTGGGATGTCTATAAAGTTTATTTTAAGGGTTATTTATCATTTTCTAAAAAATATATTCGAAGTACAATTTAACAAAACACAACTAAATATCATTAAAAAAGTAGCTGTAAAATATAATTTAAAAAATGAGTTTGTGACCGGAGATATTTTTTAACTTTTCAAAAAAAATGAAAAATTATAAAAATAAGTACTCATGGCCAAAATACTTTCCAAGAATAGAAATCATAAATAAACATGGTACAAATGTATTTCTTGTTTTTTGGTATTTTTTATAATTTTTTAAAACTTCTTTAAAGATCCGGAGTTGGACC